GAGATGTTGAAAGCTTTTGCTCATATGTTAAACTAACACACCCAAACATCTCCATTCAGAGGCAGGTCAGAGAGCCAGTGAAGCCAGCCCATCTCCACCCAGTGCCGGAGAATCACAGTGGCCAGAGCATAGTCCCTCCCCCTCGGGGCTGGCCAATTAGGCCAGACTGTGACTGGCCCATGTTTTTTACCAAGGGACATTTGTTCGTGAAGGAGGATGCTGAAGAGGAGGCCAGACAGCAGGGAGAGGAGAAGCAAAGAGAGAAATGTGGTGTAGCCTCCATCAGGGCAGGAAAGGTTTGGGAAAGAGAAGTGAGAGGCTGGGAAGGTGCTCACTACCAGGTCTGTGAAGAGACAACTAGTCTAAAAAGAATTGTTCAGTGCAGGGATCATACTGCAGAGGAGAGAAAAGGGAGAAAAGCCATCATTTTATGGTGCAAGCAGAGGCAAGGGTTAGACATTTCAGGAGTTGACCCAGAAATCCTAGGAATTGAATGACAATGAAGCTAGAAGAAAAGTGTGGACAAAACGGGAGCCTTGTGGGAGGGAGTCAGCCACACCTGGGTGAGGAGCATCAAGCACACAGGAAAGCAGTGGCAAGCACAAGGGCTGAGGTCTACGTGAAGCAGGAGGCCAATGGGAAGCAGGAAGTTCCCAGGAAAATCCTCAACACGTACACCTGGCAGGAGATCCAGAGACACAACCAGGAGGCCGACCAGTGGCTGGTCATCAACCGCAAGGTTTACAATGTCACTGGCTGGGCAGACAAGCATCCAGGTGGACGCCGGGTCCTCAAGCACTATGCCGGGGAAGATGCCACGGTAAGAAACTCTCTCTCTCTTTCTCTCTACCACTCTAAACTGCTGAGTGGCTGAGATCTTGGCTGTCTTCCCAAATGCATTCAAGTACGTGTTCAGGCTCCACGATCACTCATCTCCTCCCAAACCAATTTTTCAGGATTCTTATCTAGCAAGAATTTGGAAGCAAATGAAACCTCAAGGTCTGGCTATAAGCTGCACCCAGTCTGGGATGAGCTCAAACACTGACAATAAATACTATATTTGTGTATTCTGGGTTTTGTTTTGTAGTTAGTGTTTTATTTTGCTTTGTTTGGAAGTGGAGTCACTGTCTTGTAAGAAGAAAGATACAAAGGGGTCAGCAAAATTTGGGGGGAAAAAAGAACATCAGCACCCAAGTAGAAATTTCTAAGACTCTTAAAATTGCAGTGTGTAAAACAAAGAAAGCAATCCATCCAGTGGGTATCAAAATGTTGTGAATAACAATGAAAGCCTACAATTACCTAGGCTTTGAGAGCTTAAAGAGCTCTTTGCATCCTGCAGCTCACTCAGTGTGATAATTGTGATACAATCCACTTTTATGGACACATTAGAATGCATTACCTTGCTTAGATCCACCCATAAAGAAGGTGACCATTATTCATTCTCATCTTGCAAATGAGAAAATTAGTGTTCAAGGAGGTAAATAATGTGTCACACAGCAAGCAAGTCATAGTGCCATATTTTTAAATCAGGTTGGATTGACCATAAAGCCCTATATACC